TGTCAATCTCTATGATATGTGATTCTGTTAATTGGCCGTATTGATTTGGCTGCCTACAAATATATGAATTACAGTCGTAAATAATCATGAAATGTCACTATAAATTATTATTATTATATCGACGCTTGAAAGGCAAACGTGACTAAGCGACAATAACTGCTTTGTACATAAATGATAGGCAATAACCGTATTCGATGCGAAAAAAATATAATATATTTCTAGGTCTATTAAAATCATCTCAATCCTACAGCTAGATTCGTTAAAATAGAATTTTTTTCAGGTATTTCTCAGGTATATTTTAAATTAATTTCAACTTTAAATTAGTCTACTGTAAAGTTCACGCTTGTCGCTTAGTCGCGTTTGCCTTTCAAGCGTCGATATGTTTACATATGATGACGTTGGGTCTGTCTTGTCTCACAGTTGACCTAGGCATTGAACTTGTCGCTTTCCTGGAAAACAGGCCTCGGTGGGTGATAATGACTGGCAATAAAAGATACAAGGGCAAATTACACAAAAATAGGTATCTTTATTTCTGCTGCGAATGTTCTTGTGTTCTCATTTGAGGTTTATTACAGCCGTTAATACAACACAACTGGGACTTCAAGCTCATGATGGTTGGCAGAAACCCGAAAATGTTTAGCATTAAGACCTTGAACGTGTGGCCCATAACTCGTGGAACCAGGAGAGCGTACCTACTAGAGCCCCAGGAGTTGAGAAATGAACTAATCATCGCGTCGACTACATTTCAATTTTTATGTTTATTTTTGTTGACTGTACTTTATTTTTATTGCTTAGATGAGTGGACGAGCTCACAGCCCACCTGGTGTTAAGTGGTTACTGGAGCCCATAGACATCTACGATGTAAATGCGCCACCCACCTTGAGATATAAGTTCTAACGTCTCAAGTATAGTTACAACGGCTGCCTCACCCTTCAAACCGAAACGCATTACTGCTTCACGGCAGAAATAAACAGCGCGCGGACTCACAAGAGGTTCTACCACCAGTTCGTGTACTATGGAACAGCGAGATCTCTAATCAAAGTTATTTTTTTATTAGTACATAAAATAAGGCTTCTAACACTACTATATACTATATTATGTGATGTATGTACATAGTTTAATTTGTATAAAAAAAATACACATGAATGCGTATTGAAAGTCTAAATAAATCGATCAGCCGAGAAGCAGCGGTCAAACTTGTCAGAATTTCCATTTCGCTTTAACTATTCATTAAAAACATTTTGCAAGCCATTTAAATAATATGAACAGAGCAATTGATTCTGTGGTGTAATAGATAGCGCCAGCAGTAATGTGTTTGATTCCTATTTCGGGCAAACATCGTGTGACTAGTAGGTTTTTTCGCTCTGTAGCTAGGTATTTATTATCTATCTATATATTAATACGTGAAGCAAAAACTTTATATCCCTTTTTACGAAAATTGCGCGGACGACGGAGTATGAAATTTTCCACACTTATAGAGAATATAGAGAAGAAGTGCACAATGCTAATATTTTTTTTAAATAATGCATAAAAGATACATTAAATCAATAAAGAAAACATTACACACACTACCATGTATTTGACGCACACGCGCATGCATACTATTTATTGTAAAACTTTTGTTCTTGACGTTTGTGGTCAAATTGAGAATAGATTAAATATTGTTTGTCTTTATTAATATTTCTTTATAGTGTAGCCTTGGCGAAATTTATGATTATAGTATGTGTACAAACTTACAATTCCAATTAATTATAGTCGAATTTCGACTACTGTGGACCTCTAGTATACATAATTACGCATTTATTTATTTGATCATTTGGACCAACAGAGTGATTCAGAATATCGGTAAACGAACACTATGTTACATGATAAATGTCAATTCAATGATAGGTACAAAGGACAACACAAGTACTCATATAATTTAGATACTATATAAGTATTTATGTATGTCCTTCGTGGTTCCCCTTTTTTATTTCACATACCTATTCGCATGTAGGGTAGGCGAGTTCACGGTCTCAACCTGAGAATGTTTGCTAACCCTAGAAAGAGCAGTGCTTCGCTGAATCTACCACCGGATCGGAATGACGACCCACTGAGTAGATCCGGCGAGAAACTCAGTGGGTTTTAAGTCTATGGTTTTTTTTTATTGCCCTTGTAGGCAGACGAGCATACGGCCCACCTGATGGTGAGTGGTTACCGTCGCCCGTGGACTTCAGCAATGCCAGGGGCAGAGCCAAGCCGCTGCTGGGTGGTTTCATATTACAGGGAATCATAGTTCGAGAGCAGATGACCGTACGCGATATCTCCCTTTCAATCGATTTAATAGTAGCAACTAAAACTAAGGCACTTTTTGTTTTCACGCGGCTAACGTTGTTATTGTAAACGCACACTCCACTGATAAGCAATTACCGAGAATTTTTATTATCTCAATATTTTATATGTCAAAAATTTTACGGGATAATTTCCATCGATACTTTTGTTTACTTATGTATCTTTCCGCGTACAAATGATTGTAAACAATGACGTGATTATACAAATTTTAAATTGAACTGATAAAGAAGTTTACGTGATCAACTTTAGTTTTAATAAACAATCGTTAAAGTGTCAATAAAATTATGGATTCTTCAAAGAAATTACAAAGATTAAACTGGAAAGTTACTTGACGGCAGAGTGGTAGGGTGAGTTCAAACGACTTGTACCACACTTATACACTTCACATGATACATTAGGTATTTTAATTTTGATGCACACGAAACTTTCTTAACCCAGTAAATAATTGTTAGTAACAGTAAATCACGATGAACGAATAAAACTCTAAAACTGAAAAAGAAAAAAAATATATTATTACTATTTTGAATTATTAATATTTAAATATATTTAAAAAGTTTTTATTGAAAATACCTCCTCATAATACGCGCTGTATCAAGGATAACTATGTGCTAGTGCTAGTTTTTTAACGTTCTCGATAGCGTAAAAGTTAACTCGGATTTGTATGGAGTTGGAACGTTTGCCTTTTTGAAGTGAAACTTCTTTAGGCGCATGGGGGTACAATTTTTACAGAACGTCACGCAGGTATGCATCGAAAGTGACATCAAACTACTATTGAAGTTAAGTACTTGTCAAATGTCAGCAGTAGTAGTTGTTGTATTTTTCCAACTGGAAAGGCAAATGTATCATACCATACAGCCTAATATTTTATAATTTTATTGTGAAAAATGTTAATAGGAATTGAAATGAAATGAAAAGAATTTGGAACATTAATCAAATAGCATGAAATTAAATTAGTCAATTCAATTGGCAAAATATTAGTCATTTACAATTTAGAAATTTAAACATAATGTGACTATCAACACTGAGGCTTGAGATTGACATTTGACAGACTTTTGGCAGGAACATATCTTCCTTTTTCCCTTCCTCCAAGTCTCGGAAATCTCAAGTTTTAGATTNAATGAAAAGAATTTGGAACATTAATCAAATAGCATGAAATTAAATTAGTCAATTCAATTGGCAAAATATTAGTCATTTACAATTTAGAAATTTAAACATAATGTGACTATCAACACTGAGGCTTGAGATTGACATTTGACAGACTTTTGGCAGGAACATATCTTCCTTTTTCCCTTCCTCCAAGTCTCGGAAATCTCAAGTTTTAGATTTGTATAAATTTATTGCAAGACTTATAAATTATCTCGCCAAAAAAGTTTCACTTCTGACATGTGTACTTTGTACGCACGCCATTTTTTTTTTAACGCTGGGGAATCCATTTACGGATACCCGGTCAAGAGGGAACGTTGGCCTACGTTTCCCGCTAGGGGCGCTATTCCAACTCCATACAAACTTGAGTTAACTTTTACGCTATCGAGAACGTCAAAACCTGGACTAAGCATACTCTGTTATATTTCTTTATTACTTTCGATCACAGGTGAACAAGTCGCTCGCCTGAAGGTACGTATTCACTGCAGGCAATGGTATCCACAAAACCAGGGACTTAGCTTTTATTTTAAAGTACATTGCGTGTAAGCAGTTATAACTGCGAATATCATAAGTTAAAATAATTCCACCTTTTCAATTGTGACATTTCATATTTTAAAATAGTATAATTATTGTGATCAATATATCCCCGATTCACTTCTTCCACTTCCGATTTTAAGAACTCACAACAAAACTTAGTTCAGAAGAAACTTTATAACGACATCGAATTCTCTTCTTAAATGTGGTAACAGATATTTCCGAAAAAGCTTCTGAATAAAGTGACTGTGATAGATAACAAACAAACAGACAGAAAGATTGGATAAAATTATTATTCTCCTGTTCCCAGCGATACGAAATATCATATTAAAAAAATACGATTATTTAACGGATTTTGCATTCAAATTGTTATTGACTTTAAATCCACGATGTTGATTCTTTTTTTTTTGTGTGTTTTTGAAGTTATACTTCTTTAAGCGCGTTATGAAAAATTGATGAGAGTGAAATTTTACGACGCGCGCGCACCGTGACACAGAATTAACAGAATGAAGTTGCCCACTAAATCGCTCATTACAATACGACCGACGTAATTTGGCGAGTCTGAATATAGCCGCAGGTGAACTTTCGCGCATGTACACTCGTAAAAAAAAGGGTTATTAGTATTCATTTTTTAGTAATATAAATGACTAAATTATTATTTAATATAATTCATACTAAATATTATGAAATTATTAACGTTAAATATTTATTATTAATTATTTAATATATATATAAAAAAAGAAATAAATTTAATAAAAATAAAGTATAACTTATTACGCGCGTACATAAGTACACGCAGCCTTTTTTTGTTTTTGCAAAACGGAAACAACATTCTGTTTATCTCGCAAACCACTATCTAGTCATGCGTCCGCCCATCAATTACCTACGCAAAAAAACAATACAAGGGATTCTTCAAAATCCGTAATACAATAACATTCCCGATAATTTCCCATTGCGACGCGTCACAACGCCGTCCATTGAATAAATGGTCATGTATTTAGTACAATTTTGTCAGTCTTCATCCGCTTGCCGGACGATACGCGTATTGCGCTCTAAATTTTTTTAAGTTTAATAGAAAACACAGTGACAATGTATTGCGATCTACCAGAATTCGGAAGGTGCTGTTTCTGCATGCCTCTTAGGAAAGGCGTGTTAGTATTCGGATATATCAATCTGGTGAGAGGATCAATTTTATTTTTGTCATTTTACGAGAATGATGGCTATGTACATCATTTGCAATGATGGTGATATAATTAGGATGATGCGGGCGTTCTAGGACGAATTTGGGGAGTGCTCTGAGGAATTGTTTGAGATGATATCATCATCTCGTTTTTAGCATCTCACTGCCCGCCACTGGAATAGAGTTCATCCATACTACCTGGAGCCACTGCGTTCATCCACAGTGCGTTTCCAGAGATATTTTTTTGCCACGTACCATCCGGCTTTAGAATAAGCTCCTCTTCGCGGTGTTTCCCAAGCGCTATGATATATCTTTCTTCAAACGAAGCTTGTGGAGAGTACTTAACGGTAGGTAGGGGCTTGGCTCCGTTCCTGGCATTGCTGAACTCCATGGGCAACGGTAACCACTCATCATCAGCTGGGCCGTATGCTCGTCTGCCTACACGGACAATATATAAAAAAATAAAAAATAAAATGTTTGTTTGTTGAATGTTATGCAGTTGATTTGACAACCCACCTCGTGAATTGGAAGCTAAGCAAACGTGAACCTTTTGATGTAGTGCCGAAGGTCTTAGCTCTAGTCTATGTGCCAGTAATTCGGTATTTTAAGAAAGAAAACTTAGCGAAGTATTTTATTGGTGTGGAGTACGTGCTCACGGCCTAATCGCACGTCGGTAATGTCGCTTACCACTAGAGAGGGCATCGCCAAGGATCTCCAGCAAAGCAAATCTCCCATTACAAGCCTTCAAGAAAGGCAGGTCACGGTAGTTCAAGACCAACTGAAATCGCGCTCTGGACAAACGCGGTGGTAATCGAAATTCGGTATAAAGATGATGGAAATGTGATGATAGGATTATCTCTATCTAAGCATGCTAACATAGTAATAATATCGTTTATCATATTGAGGGGTCAAAGACTATTCGGTTTAAACGATATTTCGCTTAATACGCGACATTTATCTTTGGTAATTAATGCTGCGTCTTATTTACTGGTGGTAGGACCTCTTGTGAGTCCGTGCGGGTGGGTACCACCACCCTGCCTATTTCTGCCGTGAAGCAGTAATGCGTTTCGGTTTGAAGGGTGGGGCAGCCGTTGTAACTATACTTGAGACCTTAGAACTTGTATCTCAAGGTGGGTGGCGCATTTACGTTGTGGATGTCTATGGGCTCCAGTAACCACTTAACACCAGGTGGGCTGTGAGCTCGTCCACTCATCTAAGCAATAAAAAAAAAAAAAAAATTAGCATCGACTGTTAGATCGTCGCTACTATCGGTCACGTATAGCCAATTTCTGGATTCGTAAAGTCTGTTGTTACGACGATAATAAATTAGGGTTTCTGTAAATCCGCTTCAAGATGAGCAGTTAATTCATCTGGCCGCTAAAATCAACGATCCACTGTCTCGATTATTAGTCTGCGTGTGAACTAACGCGCTAAGTCTATTTTTGCTGCAAATTAATGTTTTCCTGGCTCCATTGACAAAATGACTTCGTAAAGTACGGTAAACTCCCATTAATGTTTCAAGGGCGGGTGAATCAACACTGTTAACTGAAAACGCGGAAAGCCGTTTACGATTTGGCTAGTTCTGCACGAATTTCAATCTACGGGGATTGGCGGGGTGTTTAATGGTGTATTTTGTATACGGGAAATTCGTAACGAAACATAAAACCGTAAAAATTGTTTTAATTATTCCAAAGGCACACGAAAACCGAAGAAAGTATTATATTGCTTAAAATGAGTTTTAAAAAAAAAGTCTTCAATAACTAACTGCACGAACACATAATTAAATAGACGAAAACTGAAAATCAATGATTCAAAGTTGAAGGCGAAACGCGGATAGGTACAAATAGTTTTTTGTAAATATTTACAAGTCTCAAAGAACGTCTCTGATAATTTTATAATTGAGATAATGCAGATTTATGTGCGACGTATTATAAATATAACATACTAATGATTTCCATTAATTAATATGTAAACAACTATAATGAATTGAAATAACTAAGCACCCTACATTTATTAATCTTTGTGTGTGATTTGAAATTTCGTGCATAAGGTTACAATGTTACTAGGGCTGGTACATGTTACTAGTGCTATGACTATAGGTAGGGTTTGAAATACAATAGGTGGTATAATTTTTTTTGACTTATTTAATGTGTAACAATACAATACTTAACAATCCCAATTTGTAAGGTTTTTGTTTGGTTCGAAATTCTAACGTGCATATTTTTTTCATTTTATTGTTGCTTAGATGGGAGGACGAGCTCACGACCCACCTGGTCTTAAGTGGTCACTGGAGCCCATAGACATCAACAACGTACATGCCGCAACCTATTTCGAGGCATGTGCTCTACTTCACAGTTTTTATAGTACAACGGCTGCCCCCCTCTTCAAACTACTATTACTGCTTCACAATAGAAATACGTGCTTACCATATAACATGATACTATTTTTACAAAAGCAATTTTAGTTTGAATGAGCTAGCCATAAGATGGCGCTGTTGAAAACGTCATAGTAGGCTGTCGGTGGGATTGAATTTTTTTTTATGGGATTTTATGACCTGGTGTCTATGACCTTTAAGTCATGTCTTATTTTAATTTATATTCTTATTTTTATGAAAAATGATAATATGGAGTAAAATGAAATGAAATGAAAGAAATGATTGATCTGAGACATTAATCAACTGGGATGAAATTAAATGAAATGAGATGAGATGATGGTGGTCATTTACTGAGATTTTTTCAGTAGACTTTTTGGAGGATCTCAAGAAGTTACGTCACAGATACTAAACAGTTAATAAACCACCGTTATTACCCATTTAAACCCGAAGAAACACTAAATAGACAAAATAAAACAAATCACACAACTTCACTCCTAGCGTTCCCGCCAAAAAGTCTGTTTAGTGTTACTATTTAGAATTATATAGAATATTATCAACTATAATACTCCTAAACGCCTTTGTATGTTTTAATTTGGTAACAATTTTTTTATCTTTCATTTCGTAGTTAATAACAAATGGCTGTATTTTCGCAGTTTTTCAGCGCCTTCCTGGTTGGCTTGCACAGCTACGGTGTTCATTATCAAAAAGACGTCTTCTCCGTGTACCACGGCATCACGACCAGCGTACCCACGGAGCTGAGCATCGCACTCTACTGCCTAGAAATTATACTAACATCTTTTCTGATTTATGGTGCTCATAAGGTGAGTAATTTATATTAACGCCGACCCAAACTTATAAGATGTTTGACTACAAAAACTCTCCTCCTTGCGTCGATAATCCTCAATGCTGATGGTCGTGGCTTCGTGAGGCTTTTTTGGGAAAATACACATGGTGGGGGCTCCCGTCCTTCCGCGTTCTTCGGCAGTGCTTTTGGAAGAGATATAGTTCTTCGAGGCGGCTGAAGCCTTATTTGGGCCCGGCTAATTAATTAAATAATTAATTACAGAGACTAGAGACGTAAATTATGATATAAATATTTCAAAACGTAAAAATTCTTTTTTTCATTGTCGATACCATTATAATAAAACGTATATATTAATCCGGGTTACAAACTATGTTTGTGCGGAATTCATCCAAATTAATTCAAGCATTTTTGCGTGATCGAGAAACATACGCAAATAACAATCCTACAACATTCATATTTAGAATCTATGTGTCCAATTTTAGCATATAATTTATTTAAAAACTGTACCAAAAAATTATAGTCCCTATTTCCAAACTCATGCGGTTTACTTAAGACAAACTAACGAATATAGTTTATTATTTACAAAATTGTGGTCTTATCATAAAAAGTTATATTATTTTTCTGCTTTCTGACTATCCGATCGTTGTTTACAAACGTCACCAATATTATCAGGAACATTAAGACAGTTATGGACTGTCCCCAAAATCACTTCCGAAAAAATTCGAGTCTTATCGCTGTTCATAATTTGATAGTGCGTTGATCTTTGGGTTAAACATATCAACGTTCATTCGATGTCTCAAATGTTTACAATAATTCGAGCGAACTGTTTTCCGACTGATAGGTTGTCAAAATTATTTTTAATTGACAATTAAAAAAAAACATAGTTCATGTATGTTTGTAATCTACAAGAATCGACTTCCCGAACTTCCCAGTTTCAATAATAAACTAGTTAATGACCTGGAGAATGAGGTTTTTTTTTTTATATATTGTATTTTTTTGAAATTATATTTAAATACGAAATACATATTGATAAAATTATGAAATATGAATAATATTTTTCGATCTTACCAACAGAATAATAAAAAAATATGAACTGGTTATTTAAAGAAAAAAACAAAATTACCGATAACGTTGATTATTGAAAACACAAATAAAACGACATTTTCTGAAAATAAATCGTAGCTACATCGATTTATCGTCCACGAAATCTCCCGTATACTAGTTTTTATGAAAATCGTTGAAGCCGTTTTCGAGATTCAGATTATATATATATTTATATACAAATATTGCTCATTTAAAGATATAAGATAAGTTATGCTGACCGTTAACAGAATTTAAGATGTGAATGGATCCACCTTTCCCAAGTCCAAGTCGTCTGGAAGGATATCAACCATAAAAGGACAATCCGGTGGATAACTCAAAAACCACTGGTCAGTTCTTGATAGAATTTAAATGGGCCCACATCAGAAGCACACCTTTGATATGAGAAAAAATTACAAAAATTCCCACCCTAAAAAACAAAACAAACAAACAATAATACACAAAAAAATACAGTTCAATTCAATACATTTTTATTTTAAGTCGATTAAAAGATGATTCGAAGAAAAAAGTATCGAATTAGGAACGTTTAGAGATTAAGAAATTAATTCACGCCAAAAAACATTGCACTGTTTCATTTTATATTTTCAATTCATTTATATACGTGTAGTGTTATTCCACGCCCCTGTTGATTACTGTTTCACGTAAACAAACAGAAATACGTATTGTATTACAGATATTGATAACGGTATTAACATGACGCAAATCGCGAATGGACCCTGAACTCAACATGTAATATAAACATTCTGTCTATATTTGTTTTTTATTACACAGACGAGTGGATGAACTTAATTGAATATCGCCACCGACTTTGAGACATGCAGCTTGTTGTTTAGATGGTATTAGCTCACGGTCTAAGTGATGTTAAATGGTTACCGATGCCCCTAGACTTCTACAATGTAAATGCCGCCACCCACCTTGAGATATGAGTTCTAAGGTCTCAGTTTAGTTACAAAGGCTGCCCCACACTTCAAACTGAAACGCAATACTGCTTTATGGCAGAAATAGGCAGGGATATGGTACTTACCAGTCCGGACTGACAAGAGTTCCAGTTCCTAACACCAGTAATTACGCAAATAAATTTTTTTTGGATTTGGCATTTTTATTACACTATGTTATATACTATCTATATCGTATACCTTCACCATGGAAGTCAATCGTGAACATTTGTTGAGTGCGTATTTCACTAGAAAAATTGGTACCCGCCTGCGGGATTCGAACACTGATGCATCGCTCGACACGAATGCACCGGACGTCTTATCCTTTAGGCCACGACGATTTCAATGGAAAAAGGCTAGAAATGCATCCTAATAACTAATAAGCTTGCCACGCAACTAACCACACCAGACCTAATAAATAGGCTTAAAAGACGACAAATCCTCAGTCTTGATAGACACGGTTGACAGAGTGGAGCAGTCTCAATGGAGATTTTGCTCTGACCGTCTAACAGCTCTCAACACATCTGCTCATAGTCTAGCTGACTGATTGCAAGAAGTCGCATCGCTCGATACGAATGCACCGGGCGTCTTATCCTTAAGGCCACGACGACTTGTGAATCCGCACGGATAGGTACCACCACCCTGCCTATTTCTGCCGTGAAGCAGTAATACGTTTCGGTTTGAAGGGTGGGGCAGCCGTTGTAACTAGACTGAGACCTTAGAACTTATATTTCAAGGTGGGTGGCGCATTTACGTAGATGTCTGTGGGCTCCAGTAACCACTTAACACCAGGTGGCCTGTGAGCTCGTCCACCCATCTAAGCAATACAAAAATAAAAATAAAAAGACTTCAATGGACACGCCAGATTCTGTTCGTCATTTAAAATTGAATGATTTACTTTCAGAGAATAATCTCGTACATGAAATGGTTCTACTATTTCACGGTGACGACAACTGTTGCGGCGATACTCATACAGATACTGGAATTCACATCGTATCGTTCGTTTGGATTTATCATCGAAGTGTGCCTCTTCAGCGCCAGCGGACTGTGTAAGTACACATACGAAATTCATTGATGTTCCGTTCGATCACAAATTTTGAGTACTAAAGTTTTTAGATGTGAAATCACAGTGTATTTGAAGCAGCTGCTGATTATAGCATGCTTGTGGCCACTCGTTGCGGGCTCGATGCAGGGGTCCGAAATTAATGTTCCTGATAGAGTTCTATAATTGCACACGGCTTACAATACAGATTTTAGGTTAACTACGGTCATACTAGTAAGAAAGGACTTTTTGGCGGGAACCCGAAGAGTGAAGTCGTGTGAATTGTTTTATTTTGTCTATTTGGTATTTCTTCAAGTTTAAATGTGTAATAACGGTGGTTTATTAAGTGTTTAATATCTGCGAAAGTGCACAAATGTGGGAAAACGAAACAAAGCCGCTGGACGCAACTTCTCGGGATCCTCCAAAAAGTCCACTGAAAAAATCTCAGTAAATGACCAACATTTTACTGAGATTACATTTCATCCCATATCATCTAATCTCATTTCATTTAATTTCATCCCAGTTGATTAATGTCTCAAATTAATCATCTTCATTTCATCTCATTTCATTTCACTCATTTTTCATAAAAATAAGAATAAATAAATTAAAGTAAGACATGACTTAAAGGTCTTAGTAACCAGGTCATAAACTCCCTTAAAAAAAACTAGTGAAAAAGAGAGCTCAGTGTCATTGCCACTTTAATTTCATTCTACCCCACCTAGAAAACAATCTCTAAGTGGGGTAGAACCATAGACCTATATAGTAGGTAGAAGAACCTGGACGTTTACACCGTTTGTGTCTCGTTAAACAATTGTATATATAGCCCGAATTTGACATATAAATATATTTTTTATTGCTATATGTGTGGACGAGCTCACAGCTCACGTGGTGTTAAGTGGTTACTGGAGCCCATAGACATCTACGACGTAAATGCGCCACCCACCTTGAGATATAAGTTCTAAGGTCTCAAGTATAGTTACAACGGCTGCCCCACCCTTCAAACCGAAACGCATTACTGCTTCACGGCAGAAATAGGCAGGGCGGTGGTACCTACCCGTGCGGACTCCCAAGAGGTTCTACCACCAGTAAAATATTCGAGTAGTCCTAGCTGGTTGTAGGGCGAATTGAAAGTCAAGCTAGGTAGGTCTGCCTATTTCTGCCGTGAAGCAGTTACACATACAGGTTAGACGCGCGACACGTTTATTATTTAATATAGTTTAGCTTAGCTAGAATTAACTTTGACTGTTTTGAAATATGAATCATATTACCTCAACAACGAAGGATTATAATTCGTTTACCGACGATGTGAATGGAAAAACCCGTGTGGGCGGAAATTGTGCTCAGTACTGAACGGTTTTTTGTAGTGGGACTCTGTAATGTAGACCCGTTCTAGTTCTATACATGCTGGTTGTATACAGTTTGGAAGCATCGGAAAATACATAATCCTGGGTTTCTGGTAGATTTTTCTCGATGTTAAAATTATGCGAATTTCAAACTACTTGTAAATTTACATGTAGCGTTTTCGACCTCATCTCTCAAGGAGGGTAGAGGCATTCACGTTGTTATGTCTATGGGGCTTGGTAGCTTCTTATCACCAAATGTACGGTGATCGCGATGGCCAATCTATGCAAAAAAAATCATTTTGTTACGTCAAGTTAATCACAAATCACAACGTATGATATTGGATATGGCCATACACTATCGTATGTTACATGATTAGCTCGTTTTTTGTTTGGCCTCAAATGACGTCAAACGGAATTAAGTTTCTACACATTGTTATAAAATTAAAATAAAAGTTGAATTTATCCGGTTTTCTGTTGATATTTCGACCTCAGTCTGTCTCAGTTATGATGGAAGAGTAAATGTTGAACTGTCAAACTGCTTCTAACTAAAAACTAGCCTTAACAAGTGCAGTATTTTGCTGAATCTATCACCATATCGGAATCGCGATCCACTCAGAAGATACGACGAGATATTCGCTGGCTTTAACTGTAGTGTTTATATTTGTTTACTTTATTTTCCGATCCTAATTTAAAAACATTTTACAGTCATACAAATATACTTGATCCTTCATGTGAGGAGTCTCATCAAGAAACTCGAAATGGATGGCCCTCATCTCTACGACAATCCTCTTCATCAGATCGTCACCGGAGAAGCGAAGATCGAATCAAATGGAATTTACAACAACACTACCGTGGAACCAAATACAGTATAAGTCTTGTTAATTTTAAGATTATTAATTAATTTCGCTATCGTCATTTTTATTTTTATTTCAAGCTTGGACTTTGTATCTTCAGTTACATGGACTGGATTCATATAGGAAGTCCTGTAATTTAAGAGTCAGGTCCAAAGGTTACTAAATGTAATGATTACCGTGCTATAGTAAAACCGTGGTATGGCTTTTAGTTCCTACGGCCAACTGTGATTAACAAATTGTGATTAAGTCGAGTTGTATCTTATTTTCAACTATCTATAACTTGGTACCGGTCTTTGTGGCGAGGCTTGGGGGAGGCCTATGTCCAGCAGTGGACATCCATGGGCTGATAGAATAGAATAGAATAGAATAGAATAGAATAACTTGGTACAAATCTATAAACTTTGGTAGTGATATGACAGGGAATTTGGTATTAGTTAGGAGTTCAATAACAATGCTAAAACTTCAACCGAGCAGGTGAAATTGCTCGGCAGACCGACGGTTCGAATGTTATTGTTCTGAACTTGTATATACATAATATGTAAGCTTATCAAGAAAATGCCGTTGGCTCAATGCAGAATTTTTGAAATATCTTTTGTTGTATGATACCTGAGGCTACATAAAAAGTAGATGCGTTTTTAAGTCATTGTAAAAATAATACTGAAGATCTAGTGAAGCACGGTACAATTAAACATGCTGCAAATATTGTAAATGAAAATAATAATTATGGCGATTGTGAAACAGACTTTCTTCAATAATCGGATTAAAATATTCACAAGATCAAATGATAAATGTGTGAGTGAAATAGTCGAGTCAAATTATTTTTAAATTCACTCAGTTTGTAATTTTCATGGTAAATTTGGTAAATTTCGTAAATTTGATCTGATTATTGAAAGAACTCTTTATTTAATAAGTAATTTTAGAAGTACCAAAACAATTGTAAATATAACTTTGACAAAAAAAAATTGCTTGCTCTCTTAAGGTATTTTTCGATTTTTATTTTCATGAAAGATAAGATAATGAAATTCGAATTTAGTTTTCGCTTTGTAATTAAATGAAATCTATTATTATATTATCTTAAATAACATTATAAATGCGATTTTTTTTGGGGACAGATGTATAAGTTGGATACTATTTCACGCAAAAATCACTGGAGGGTTGAAACTTCACAATATTGTATTATACCTTATTGAATAGCACATATAATTTTTAGAATAGAGTTTTTATTGGTGGTAGGACCTCTTGTGAGTCCGCACGGGTAGGTACCACCACCCTGTCTATTTCAGTCGTGAAGCAGTAATGCGTTTCGGTTTGAAGGGTGGGGTAGCCCTGTAACTATACTGAAACCTGAGAACTTATATGTCGAGGTGGGTGGCACATTTACGTTGTAGATGTCTATGGGCTCCAGTGACCACTTAACACCAGGTGGGCTGTGAGATCGTCCACCCATTTAAGCAATAAAAAAAAAAACTTTCTTTCATGGCAGCTAAGTGACATGACCCTGGTAAGAGGGATAATCTACTATTAATCATGATTCTTCGTTCGTTGATATGCGTACTAACAGATCTATAAATCGAGTAATAGTTTCTGAACTTGAAGCTGACACAAGCAACTGTTTATCCTGTAACGTGTTTAATTTTTTAACAAATTTAACTCCAGTGAAACCACGGGAGGCTTCTAATTCATACCAGACACAGTCTACTTGCCCTGACTTACTGATCGATTCTTAAATGCAGAGTATATGCGACTGAGGAGGTAAATTTGGAAATTTAGATGTCTTTTATGCCGTAGGCTTTCACCGGCGAAGGATTTTCGGTAGATTCGAAACCAACACTAGTGTGGTAGACAGGCATTATCTAAAAAGCATGAAACTTACCATCAAAGTATAATATAGAGCAAAAGTATTTTCAAGAAAATTTGTGGCGGTAAACTAATTGTACGTAAGTTAATTTTTTTTTCGCTTGAGAGATTCGTCTTTTTGTGTTTTATTTTAGATTTAAATAAGCGCTTAAATTCAGGTCGGGATCATAGTTCCGTTGACGGTAAAAAAACAAGTTTTTGGGGAACAAGAAACTACTGATTCTAGTTGAACTATTGATTTAAAATGTAAGATATCAATAAGTCAACGAAACCAAAGACTAGTAGGTAATGCTATTATTAGGTACGTAATGTGTAAATAAACATATGTTTTTGTAAATAAAACTATAAAAAATATAATAATGTTGTTTTCTTTGAGATTCGCTTGAGAGAGAAAAATAAACATAGAAAGGGTAGTGGCATTTTAAGCCATTGCAGAAAGAGATGTTACTGAATTCTACTGTATTTTTTAATGACCTGAGACCTGTTTCTACGTAAGTCGATTTTGATGATTAGTTTTTTTTTTAAATCATGGTGTATCTCGTTGTTCCCACTTAAATTTTATTCAAATATGATGAGTAGTAGTATTTGAGTCATCCTAATCAATGCATATTTAATTCACTTCGACGACATTGATGATATTCTCGTTTTATTTCGTCAATGATCGGTTTTTCTTTTTGTATTATTAACGCGTTGGCTGCGGCAAGTAAAGTAACAAACCTTCATCTGGTCGATGCGCCCCCAACCATATTTCCACCAGTGCCTGACAGGTCTTTCTCGACCCACCAGCACTAGGGTAGAATAAAATGCTATAGCTTTGTGGAAACATACTGTATACAATTTATAGTATATAGTTTTTATTTATTTTTATTGCTTAGATGGGTGGACGAGCTCACAGCCCACCTGGTGTTAAGTGGTTACTGGAGCCCATAGACATCCACAATGTAAATGCGCCACCCACCTTGAGATATAAGTTCTAAGGTCTCAAGTATAGTTATCGATGTCAAACTCTTGCGGTAGACAGCGGCTTGGCTCTACCCCTGGGATTGCTGAAGTCCATGGGCGACGGTAACCACTCACCATCAGGTGGGCCGTATACTCGTCTGCCTACAAGGGCAACAAAAAAAAAACCAACACCTGAAATAATCGCACCAGCTGAAAGTACTGCGGCGGGCCAAGATGGGCCTGTTCCGCAGTGAAGGGGTTAATAAAACAAATACGGCTTCAAATGTAGCTTTCTTCCTGTTTATTACTTTAGGAAAAAAAATAAGCCAACCCAATAATTTCGTCTTCTTGGTAGTGCATTGGTAGCTGGACTTGTAGCTCGCGCGCAACGAGGGATAGTGAAAGCCAATCAGCCTTAGTATGATCCGAAACAGTCATGCATTCCATTTTAATACGCTTTTATTAGCTTCAGATGTATGTATATTTGTAACGGAATCTTTGAACATGATTTTGACCCCGTTCAAAACGTCGGATTAACTCGAAATTTGGTATACTTATTAAGGACTGATATCAATTCAATATTAAAAAACGATGAAAGAACATCTGTGCAATAAAGCTTACTATAAAGTCAATGATTATCTAGAAGATTGCACAAAGTGGGAATGAGTTGCTCGCTCCGGGCATTTCAATATTGCAATAATTGTAAAACACAATTTTATTGTAAAAAAAAAACGTGGGGTGCATGGAGTAGTTATAAATATTTTATGAACAGATATGAGTAGAAGGGTTATATTGATAATATCCTGAAACCCCACGCTTTTTTACAATAAAATAATTTTTTCTTACACTATTTTTAATTCAAATTTATTAAATTTTATTTTCTATTTTTTAGTTGGATTTTCTATAAAAGCGTATTTTGTTAGTTTTTTGAAACTATTTTTTATTTAAGGGTAGTAGTCATTATACTTTAATTGTGACGTCGACCATGTCTCAAGGTGGGTATTTTCATTGTCATGTTTACGTTTCCTAACGACCGTTTTATACTAGATGATATTTTTAATTTACAACATTAAAATCCTGTGATAAATAGAATCATAGACATGAGTACTAAGTCTCAGTTTTTACAGTACAACCGCTGCCTTGCCCTTCAAACTGAAACCCATTGCTGCTTCACGGTATCTTACTATGCAAGCTCACGAGACGTAATTAAATTCCATAAAATGTATTAAGGGAACCCACAAAAGTTTCTGACTTCGAACAAATAATGGTTTCTAGTAAAAGAGGAGATGACACATTCCTGTTTCCTAGTCCGCAGGTCCGTAAATAAGATAATTGGAATCATCTCAGTCGGTTACAACTACACATATTAGCTATACACCTAACCTGTATTCGCGTTTGTATATGACACTGTAATATTTTTACTATAATTAAAAAAAAAGGTCTCCCATAGTGTTTGAAATGCGTTTAGAATTACCCCAATGCAGGAGATGTTTTTTCTGCATACCTCTGCGTTACGGTATCATTGTGTTTGGTTATTTAAATATGGTGAGTGTCTTTCAAAAATCTATTTAGTCCTCCTTAATGTATCTAGAATCATATGTATTTGAAACATAATGAAATTTTTCAAATATATTTCATCATTAAACTTTAGCATTGAATACATCAGATGACATTACCACAATACAGAGTGCTGGCGTACTAAGAAGGCTAGTTGATGAAAAACCAAGCCCTTGCTTGGCTGCTAGCTCATCGAGTTCTTGAGATCTGATGAGAACATGAGCCCACTGCTTGACGTTAATAGATTACCATAGTACATTTTTTATTTATTGCTTAGTTGTGTGGACGAGCTCACAGCACATCAGGTATTAAGTGGTTACTGGAGCACATAGACATCTATGACGGAAATGCGCCACCCACCTTGAGATACAACGGCTGCCCCACCCTTCAAACCGAAACGCTTTACTGCTTCACGGCAGAAATAGGCAGGATGTTGGTACCTACCCGTGCGAACTCACAAGAGGTCCTACCATCAGTGACAAGAGGTCCAACCACCTATCATACGGTACCACGCCGTCACCAATTGACGCGGTCAATTGACAACTTCAAGAAGATTAGTTTGAAAACTTGCAAGTGTGTAAACTACTAATAACGCTTTTAGATTTTTAATACTTTGGCCTAATGTCTGCTCCGGATCACCATGATTAAAAACAAACTTTAGTCTTAAAACTAGAAGCTTTAGTTATCGATTAGGAGTGGATTAAAAATATATTTATTAATCGAAATTTCAAGTCTTTAAGATTATATCGACCGCTGATCACAAACAAAATCTTTCATTGAACTTTCTTGAGCTTGACTAATGTAGCTAAACGTAAAATACAAAAAGCGCCTTATCGTAACACAAGCACTATTATTTCCAGACGTTTTCTTTACTGATACTAGGGGTTGAATCGCATTGGTTGGTTCGTACTAATAAGATTACGGACCTTCTCACTGATATTCCTATGATGTTCAGGGGGACTGGAATGTATACTCACGTATGGTTCACCATCGTCATTTACACTCTAGAAGTCGTTTTTAATATCATATTAGTGATAGGAGCCCACGCGGTAAGTTAATTTAAATAAATTATCGTTCGCATGATCGAAATTAGACCGTAATCATTCATTAATTAGATCTATTTTCTGTATAGCATTATCTATATTGTTTTTTAAACTTTGGAAAAGAAACTATGTCCAATTTTTTTCCTTTAGTAAATGTATGACTTCTTAAAAGTTACCAAACAAACAGATTTGTTGACTAAAAAAGAAAAAGAATCGCACTTAACTGTTTTGGCTTGACCATTTATCAAAATTTTACCTCGAATACCAAATAATATGTATATTCAACAAAGAAACTGACCGATCTGAAATCGATCCTCAATCTCGTGGTATTGTAGAGTAGATTACAAGATTATCTAAATTTATTTCTGCTATTCCACTGTTTTTTTTCTTTGATACAACTGATTATTTTATCTGGTACTTAACGAACTATTTATTCTGTTACCAAAATGATTATTTGATCAACTATTACACTAACTAGTTCTTCTGATACTTAACTGATTACTTTATCTGCTACTTTACCATTTATTCTGATACCAAACTGATTACTTTATCAGCTATTACACTAACTAGTTCTTCTGATACTAAACTGATTATTTTATCAACTATTACACTAACTACTTCTTCTGATACTAAACTGATTATTTTGTCTTCTACTACATTGAATATTTTTTCTGATAGTAAACTGTTTATTTTATCTGCTACAAAAACAAACTACTTTGCTACTAAGTTATTCTGTCTAACCAAACCCTCTGATTTTGAAATAAAAAAAAACAGTATGTCAGTCAACAGTAACGAACCCAATAGATATAATTACCTGAATTCACCATAATCTTTGATTGTTTAATGTGTTTTAAATTCAAATTCATATTGCCTTCAAACTTATAAATTGTTCTAAACTGGGTTTGAAATCTTGATATCGACTTGGGCGATTATTTTTTATTCTAGTTTAATTTGTATTTTAATTGCAGAAGAGACCGTATTTAATGCGAATCTACTATTATTATAGTATAACAACAACTTTAGCTGCTTTTGTAGTTCTATTGGTTGTGAGACAAGACTACGGATACACGAGGTTCGATCCCATTGATGTGTGCTTGGCTTTCATTGGCTTGGGTAAGTAATTTACTCTGGATTTTTATGGCGATCTGGAAGTCGAACTACACTCTAAATATGTTTGTATTTCATAACCAAAGAGACGATATTTATAAGATAAGAGCCCCGACAGACTAAAGGCAATAATACCGTTATTTTCAACAGGTGTTGTCAACTAAATCTAAAATACCCTAGACGGAGACCTATCGGGCTACTGAGCTTAAGTTGTAAGATTTTGTAGGCTACTGAGAAATTGCTCAAAGAAGGTTAAAAGTGTTCGGTTTTCCGACTCACTCTGGACACACTCTGGACTGGAATCACCAGCTTTTTTTTCTTTTCTTTTTTCCTACCTAAACTAAAGGTTGTGAGAGACCATTTCAGTGTAACCTTAACAAGTAGATGGGCTCACGGAGCTCAAGCCTGATGTCATTACTAACACTAACCCTACCAAGAGCATGTGCTTAGCTCTACCACCGGATCGGAAACGCGACTCACTGAGAAGATTGGCCATAAAATTGACTGTGTCTGTTGATTAATTGATTACTCGCCGAGTAAATTAACAGGTTCGATAAGAATCCCATCCCGTTTCTGCACCGTGGTATGTGAGGAATGTAGATTTTCACAGCGACCTCCATTCAGACTCGATATGTAATTATCTAATGACAGCCTCAGAACTCTTCTTCCTAGTTCGTGGTTGGAATATCTTTGAAGGCTGCTAACGATTATTTGGTTAAAAAAAAAAGACAAATCGATATGAAAGGCAGATTTCAATAACGAAGGAATGCAAAAAATTTCGTTTTTCTCTTTCTAGTCATGCAGTTGTATCTCACGCTGCTGATACATAATGAACTATCCAAAAATCGTTATCAGGAAGGGCGGATGAGTTACGTCAACCACGTATCGGAAGTCACTTTCCATCCTGTGGCCTGGGTAGATACGAATCCGTAATCGAAATGAAATATTTTAAGATAATTAAAATTGTACATTTCCTTAATAAAGTGTTACCAAATAATGATTTTTTAAATTTTTTTTTTCATTTTGCAAAAAAATTGTCTTATGAAATGCTCCCCTTTTATGAAATCGGTTGAAATTATTCTCAAACGTAGAAGTCTGCTCATTTCACTTGCGTGTATTCTATTAGGCTTAATGAACGTTGTGTGTGGACAGGAAATATCCTATAAACGCCTCAGACTTTTATTGTGGGCTCATTTCGTTCACACGATTTCAACTGTTTGCATACAATAACAACTCGAGGTTAAAAACTACAAGTGAAAAAATGAAGTTTCAACAGACAAATTGTCGAGTGCCGATAGTTAGAAAGTGCTGTTTCTGCGTGCCAATACGCAGGGGAATAACCATATTTGGATATGTTAATTTGGTGTGTATACTTTCATTTGTATTGTTTTATAGCAACGTTCTAATTTCAGTATTAAATAGATCAGTTGCTTAACGATTCAATTATATGAAAGTTGTTAATTTTTTGTTGCTTTCTAACAAAGTATTGTGATATACATAATTTTGGGAGGTAATCCTCACGATTTGAGACAACAATGATATTTAAGCCATTCGTGAAACAACTTCTCGGTCTCTTTAAAATCTTCAATATTGTACCACAGTTCAAACTGATTCCATTGTAAAAACATGTTCAAAAGATTCATACGTTCCAGGTTGAAGTTAATTTTATGATAAAAATAAAATATCAATAAAATTACCAATTAGGCTCTGATAATCCTTCAAGACTACGTAAGCCTTGCGCTCGTCCACATTCTACAATGCTCAAACCTAAAATAATCATTAGGTCTCCTTATTGATCTCCTAAAAGTTATCAAGTGACATTATTGGTACGTAGTGATATATCTTATTCCCTGTTATTGTATGATTTATAAGCCAATGACGACACGGCACACGCCAATAAGTGCGGTGTGTATTCGTTTGCCACCAAACTACCAAGCTTTAAAAGATTCGTATTAAAAAGGTTTATATTACACAAAGGACGTTATTAGACAAAGGTGGAAGTCGTCGTGGCCTAAGAGATAAGACGTCCGGTGCATTCGTGTTGAGCGATGCACCGGTTTTCGAATCCCAGGCGGTTACCAAATTTTCTAATGAAATACGTACTCAACGAATGTTCACGATTGACTTCCACGGTGAAGGAATAACATCGTGTAATAAAAATTAAATCCGCAAAATTACAATTTGCGTAATTACTGGTAGGACCTCTTGTGAGTCCGCGCGGGTAGGTACCACCACCCCGCCTATTTCTGCCGTGAAGCAGTTATGCCTTTCAGCTTGAAGGGTGAGGCAGCCGTTGTAACTAACTATACTTGAGACCATATCACTTATACCTCAAGGTGGGTCGCGCATTTACGTTGTAGATGTCTACGTACCACTTAATACCAGGTGGACTGTGAGCTCGTTCATCCACCTAAGCAATAAAATAAAAAGAAAAAAAGCTGGATCTTGTAATTCGGGTCGGGTTGTAATTCCGATTTGGTACTATACATTAATGCACTCCTGAGTCATTGAGCTATTAGGCCTACCTTACTGGCAAAACTCTAGAATTCGACGTCTTAGAGGCACCGTTTTTTGCATTGGTTTCCCAATGAGAAACATGACTCTCATTTGAAATAGCATGTAAACAATTGGAGTTACCTTGAAAAACTGTGTTTCAGGCACTGTCTCTGCTCTCTCTACCATTACTGGTGATCCTTTTGGTGGAGCAGGTCGGCGTTGACAAGACGTTGGATACAAGCCACATCGATCCCCTGGTTCACCTGCCTTTGACCATCACCTTCATAATTGTAGATGTTGTAATGACCATATTGTTATTGATTGGAGCTCATAAGGTACCTGATTGTTGTTGTTGGCATTGAAGATTTTTATACGCTTTTTATTATTAGCTTCAGACGTTTAAATGTAACGGAATCTTTGAACATGATTTTGACCCCCTTTAAAACGTTGGATTAACTATTATAGAAATTTGGTATACTTATTAAGGACCGATGACAATAGAGTATTAAAAAAAAATAACAAAATACGTTTTTATAGAAAATCCAACTAAAAAAATAGAAAAAAATAATAATAAATTTGAATTAAAAATAGTGTAAGAAAAAATGATTTTATTGTAAAAAAAAACCGTGGGGTGCATGGTATAAGTAGTTATAAATATTTTATGATCAGATATGATTAGAAGGGTATTATCTTATTTTTATTAGATTTTTTTAGCATTTTATTAGATGAGTCCATAGTCCACACGCTGAGTGGTCTTCTTTGGTACCTGACGTCGAATCCTCACTGGATCAAATAACATTCGTGATAGCGTGTCATAACTTACATGTTTTAACTTACAATTGCGTTTTTTTTATATAGTATTGATAGTCTAACCAATAACAAGTGACTACCGCAACTCAGAGCCAAAAGTCAGCATGCACTACACAAGGACTGACTTCAAACATGTACCTACTTTTTGTTTCCGGGTAGTTTCCAACAGTCTTTTACATACGTTCGTACTCACGTCCAACCAAAAGAAAATGTCAGTATGTCTTATGCTGACATAATACTCAGAGAACACTGCTGCAAATTTTCCTTTATAATCCGTTAAACGCCTTTTACGAAACCAATGTTAATAGACGGGGTATAGTAACTCCAGGCCACAGATCTAATATTCACACGACACGAAGACTTATGAATTTGTCACTTGTGTGTGTTTAATGCCACTTTTAATACGTGTGATCTATTTGTGTATATTTTTTTTCGTTCACAGAAAAAGAAATGTTTGTTAAAGGCGTACTTGTATTTTGGAATAGTTTTCCAGCTTGTTACGCTGCTGGTGGACCTGGTGTACTTCGATTACAGAGAATACGTCGAGAATACAATTTACTTCTTTTTTTTAGGTAAAGTCAAATCAATGTTTGCGTGTGAGGTTTTTAAAAAGTGTAAGGGATCGAGTAAGCTTTGCGGATTAACAGATGCAGCGTATTGTTGCGTGGTCTTTAAGAATGTTTAATATTTTCTTCGGTATTTTTTTTATTGCTCTGCAGGGTGGAGAAGCTCACGGTCCACCTGATGTTTAGTGGTACCAGAATCCATAGACATATACAACGTAAATTTCGCCACCTACCTTGAGATATAAGTTCTAGGATCTCAGTTTAGTTACAACGGCTGCCCCTCTCTTCAAACCGAAACGCATTACTGCTTCACGGCAGAAATAGGCAGGGCGGCGGTACGTACCCGCGCGGACTCACAAGAGGTCCTGCCACCAGTAAAAGAGTCTATGAGTCTCGTTTCTAAAGAATTTTGTTTGCGTTGTCATATCACTTGGACTTCGATTCTAGAATAGTCTATAACAACATTCAGTAATTCATTATCGTTTTCAGGTTTAAACGTGTATCTACTGTTCCTGGTGTATAGCGTTGTTAGGTTGTTAGAACAAAATTCCGAAGTGCAATACGTAGCGCATCGGCACGAGGTCGTCTGAGCATCGTGAATCGAACTCTTCGGCTATTTGTATTTAAGGTTTAATTTAATTTAAGCTCAAGCGATGCAACTACAGCGTTTTTTTAAACAACAAATACCCCATAATCTGTAAGCGAAGTGATGCAAAAGCAAAATGTCCTCCTTCTTAAAGGCGACAGTTTAAAAAACTTCATATGTTCTGAATATGTTCCCTGGGAGACTGGAACCGTGGCTTCGATCTTTAAGCAGAGGTGTCTTTCAAGATTATTATTTTCCTACCTATGTTAATAGCCTTGAGAGGCTATTTCAGCTTCTCCTTGACGTGTAGGTGAGCTCACGGGGCTCAAACTGGGAGTGTAGCCAACACTGCCCCTAGCAAGAGCAATGCTTCGCAGAATCTACCACCGGATCGGAAACGCGACTCACTGTGAAGATCCGGCGAGAAACTCAGTGGGCTGTGTCTTTGCGTTAATTCACTCGTCAAGCCCTTCGTCGCAAGCGACGGGTTCAACGAGGACGGTGACCGGTGCTTGTGGTACCTAAAAGCACCGCTAATGAGTCAGGAGGATCCATAATGAAGTGTTTTTTCAAGAATCCTTTGTAGCCTTACTTTTTTAATCCTCAGACAGCGATTCGAAATAGTAGCCCGTGATATCGATGCAGATAGGCAATAGGATACAGTAGATTGGGGGAACAGAGACTAGAGTTAGAATAGGGACAAATCTGGGATGTCACAATACTTTTGTCGAGTTGTTAGATTTAACTTTGTTGAGCTGAAAATGAATTTTATTTAGTGCTTAAGAATATGTATTAAATAGTTTAATTTAGTCATCAAAGTTTTGTAACTCATTAAAGATAATAAATAGTTAATTAAGTAAAGTTAGGTACCTATCTAACAACTAAATAGTGCCAGCCCTTTTGAAAAACTATTGTCTCCATACGTAGCCTGATTCACCCCGAAGCCAAGGTGAATCGGGACAAGCTAGTTTTTTCAGTTTTTTGTGTATTATTTGTAATGAACTATGTATAATAACGCATCGTATATAAAAATTTAAGCCTCTGGAACCATTATGATCTCCGTTTTATTACTGTACTACAAAAAAAACGATAAAAATCAATGTCGAACTTAAAAAGTGTCCCGGTTCTCCCCATTTTACGGTAATCCAAGTTGACTGCGAAATGTATAAATGTCGAGTATAAATATTGTTTAAAAAGCTTAGTTTTATTTCGCGCTAACATAGAAAATAGTATGGTCTACTTAGAAGTCTCCTGGTTGAATACGGAACTGAAGAAAGTAAAAAATAAAATTTTGTATTGTAATAGAATTGTTTGTTTTGCCGTGCCATAAATAAAGTTTCACGGGTAAAATGCGTAGTTTTTTATTTATTTATTTATACAGCTTATTGTGTACCGAATTTTTTTTTATGAACATAACGCGTAAAGAGGTGTATTGGATAATTACATGTATTATTTAAATCCAATGTCATTTAGGAGGTACATTATTCTAAATAAGCACGATCGGAGACGGATAATGTGGAACATGCCTAATGCAATATGTGTATTTTTTAATTGCATGTGCTCCAAGCTTTATATCACGCAATGAAGCTTGGCGTAAGGATTAGAACAGCTAGGCGATCGATATTATCGGCATCATAGGCGAATGAATTTCAATTGAATGTTGTTGAACAATTAAAAAAAATTGCAACAAAGAATTATCGAAACTATTTTTTATTACTATCGAAACAACATTAGTTCTATTGTTTTTTTTATCAAACGAACGTGCCTCGTCATAAATTCATTTAACCTTCCGATTCACGTAGTTTTTACTTGTATTATGATAATTTCGTAAACCTTAGTGTATCGGAACTCAAATAATTTATACTCGCGTAACATAAAAATTACCCTACGAACTGGCAATTACACATTGTCAGTAGTCACTCAATCATTAGTAATTAAGAAGACATGGAAAATTTAGTAGTTAATCATTATTTAATATTGAAATTTCTCTCTTATTTTACTATTGGTAATTATCTGAATACTCGTCATTGTTAAGACTAATCGCGCGCCATCTATCGTATATTATGAATATATATTATGATAACTTCCTTGAATCACCAAAAATAAATGTGCCAAGCTTTGTCACCATCAGATTTTCAAACGCATAAAAGACAAACAAACAAAGGAACACAACATTATGTAATCGTATCTAATAAATATATAGAAGCAGGATAAATTCTTCTAGACGGGTATGGTGAACTTGCTCCTTAAATGATGATATTCCTTTATCGTAGACCGCGAAGGCCGCGGAAATCCGATGGATATAGGACCGAACGTTAAGGCGAACTTTTGTGGAGGCACTTTTTTTTATTTTTTTTTTATTGCCTTTGTATGCAGACGAGCATACGGCCCACCTGATGGTAAGTGGTCACCGTCGCTCATGGACGTCAGCAATGCCAGGGGCAGAGCCAAGCCGCTGCCTACCATAAGAAGGCACTTGTCTAGTAGTAGCAGTAATGACATAATAATTCCGTAATTTTAACTGCCTTATTAAGTATCACACGGAGACCTTTCTAACAAACAGCGACTTGCTAATAATAATAATAATAGTAACTGAGAACAAAGCACGCACGACCATCTGGCTCTAATTTAGGATTCCCTGTGTTATAGGTACCAGAGACTGACAAAAACGCTTATATACGTTTAAACATATACTTATAGATAAAAAAACACGTGTGGCACTCGGGAACTGCCGCGGTAAAGCTATTGCATAGCATTTTTTATCAACTTATTATTAGACAATAATAATTTAATATTAAAACAATAATAAAATAAGACCACCTTATATTTATAAATATTAACAAAAGCAAAACATTAACTGTCCCCTTCACACTCATAAGCTAGACCACGAGAGAGAGAGATGGGCAGACTTTTCATGATGCAGATGCAGTGTAACGTCACGCAGCGCGCTTATTCACAAACACTACACAAGTGCAACGTGTGAATGTGTTGAACGCGATGATGGCTGGGGGGGTGTTAGGTTTTATTTTCGTTACGGAATTTCTTGATTCGGTCACCGCGCCCAAAGCCTGCGATAAAAGCTATGCAATAGATGAATAAACACCCAAATAAAGAGCAAACAAACCTGTTCATCACACAATGTTTGCCCGATGTGGGAATCGAATCCACGACCCTCTCGTCAGGGACGCCGTCTACTGCACCACCGAGTCAGTCTAACTTGAACTTTCACTGTAATCCAAACAAAATTTTCAAATACTTCAGATTATCTATTAAAATACCAAACAATGACAGCATCGTGCGACACTTATGGTTATAGAGGAACGCAAGATATTGTGCAATTCGTTCCTTGTGAATCGGTTACAATACGAAACCTCTGATGTTGTGGAGTCGGGTACGTCTGACTTCCCACGGAGGATCTGTTAGGGTCGGTGAAACAATATTAGGCTGGTTTTGTTTTATTAATGCCACTGATGTTCGTAGAGACGGTAAAGTGGATGTCACTTTAGAAGTTGTCGTGGCCTAAAGGATAAGACGTCATGTCCAGTTCGAATCCCACTGGCAAGTACCAATTTTTCTAATGAAATAAGTACTAAACAAATGCTCACGATTGACTACCAGGGTGAAGGACTAACATCGTATAGTAAAAATTAAACTCTCAAAATTATAATTTTCGTAATTACTGGTGGTAAGACGTCTTGTGAGTCTGCACGGGTAGGTACCACCGCCCTGCCTATTTGTGCCGTGAAGCCATAATTATCATTTCACGAAGCTATTTCTCCATCGGGAAAATCATTCGTGATGTAGCTAAGTATGTATTTCTTTTACAGTTTTCGCGGTCGCGGACGACGGATGAGGGCGGTTCGTCTGATTAAGTCGTAAAAATAGTTTTAATTACGTCAAGGTTTCCCGAAGTCCTCGACTGCCTATTTCTGCCGTGAAGCAGTAATGCGTTTCGGTTTGAAGGCTGGGGCAGCTTTCGTAACTATACTGAGACTTTAGAACTCATATCTCAAGGTAGGTGGCGGCATTTACGTTGTAGATATTTATGGGCTCCGGTAAGCCCTTAACACCAGTTGGGACGCGAGCACGTCCACCCACTTAAGCAGTAAAAAAAAGAATATTCGGTGAAAGTGTCAAGATTAATATCTTCAACCACCGAATCCAACACATACCGCGCGTCACTTATGCGTAGAAATTTCCAAAGAGCTTCAAACCTCAGGCCGAAAAAAAAGGTAGAAGTATCTAATCTGCTTGAATAACAGCAACGTACTATCTAATCGAGGAAAATGACAATATGACAATATCCTCGACAGATAGTTAGGAAACTCAGGAAATATGCCCGACATTTACTCCCACATTTCTTCCATGGAACATACAAAAAGACTAATGCTTATGTTTTGATAACAGGGAGGAGAACTATACATATTATGTATATTGGTTCCCATAACGAAGTCAATTTAACACCCCCTTCCACCCGCTATTAATGAGTTTACCAAGAAATATTACAAAAACGTCTAAATTCAAAGAACTCTCCGCGATCTGTATCGTGCGAGATAAATAATAACAGATTCGACAAGTCAGTGCGAATTCTTTGTCAGATTTTCTACTTCCAATAGATATTTGGATATATTGGATATTTGGCTGGATGGTTGATGGACTCGTGACGATCTCAATCGGCAATCGCTTTAAGATGACTCCACTTAAATGGGAAAAACTATATTTTAAGCTACAATACTCCAGGTCCATTGGAGACTGCGAGGTTAGCAATCAGCTACGCCGTAGGTACCACGAATTAGTGACCTAAACTAATGAGGTATTGGTGGATGGATGAGGTAGAGATGGATAATCATAAAATTTGGGTACAATAATTGGCAGTAACGCATAATTTCCGTACCTACTATCGATTGTGTGAAATAATGGACATTATTATCAAGCTTACACTATAATTATTATTATTTAAAAGAAAATGCTTTATTACATTTTGGTTACAAACTCTACTTTTCGATTTTAGGCGTTACACATGGATATCGTAACTAGCCGTTTGATATCAATGTTCAACATGAACAAATAAAACTATGTTAAACGAATTGATAGCAGCCCTAATGCTGCTGCAATCAGTGTTTACCCCATCACTATCATCTTGTGTCATTAGGAGATTTATATCGAGCTGTAGATATTGTAAGATCGGTAAAATGTAGCTGTGCCATGGTTCGATGGAGTGAAATTAACCGAGCAATGATATTTTGCTTTTGTTATCTTCCTGTCTATTCGCTGGTAGCCTAAGAGGCTATTCCAGCTACGCCCGGATGCACAGGTGAGCTCACGGGCTCAATCTGAGAGAATTTGCTAATACTAGCCCTAGTAAGGGCAGTGCTTCGCAGAAACTACCACCATCGCAATCGCGATCCGCTGAGAAGATCTAGCGAGAAACTCAGTGGGAATATTTTGCATTAGTGGGCAGACGCGTTCGTGCTAGTGTTAAATGATTAGTGAGCTTAGAGACATGAATTAGTCGCGATCTAAGGAATAAGAATCCCAGTGTTTTCATTGCGAGCGATACGACCACGGAACAATCGTGAAGCAGTCATTTATTTGAAGGGAGATGGTCATACAATACAGTTGAAACTTGAAACTCCTAATGTGCTTCTGTGCTCTGGTAAATAATATTACAACAGTTTTCCTCCAAGTACGCTCAGCTATACAAAAAGTACTCTGATTACAAAGTAGATTCCGCCAACTTTAACTGATTGACCATTCGTAAGCATAATAACAAAAACAGTACCGATTTTCAACCCGGAACGAGTTAATGCGAATTAATGCTCACGCTTGCGGGCTAAATCCCAATATACACGATGCATGTATGTTGATGAAGAACGTAAAAATTTACAAGTCATATTGTGTCGATTTGCGAAATTGTATTATCCGTATTTTACTTTGAAAAAAGCATGACGTAACCGCAAATATGCACGGCTTTGGTGTTTTAAGAGTAGACTATCAGTCCTATAAATGAAGACATGAGTAGACGAAGGAGTTAAGTACCAATATTAAGGTTTTTGAGTTTTTACATTGAATGAAGGTGCATATAAACCATATTAGACCTTGAAACTCCGGCTGTAAAGGCTATTTTTAAAAAGTGCGTGTGATGAAGGAGTTATGTACGAACAAACAGTACAAGTAACAAAAGTTTGTTGCCCGTTTTCTCAAAATTAACAAATTGTATCATATCCCCTACATACACTCATATTTACAAATATGTTCCAACGGCAATACCATTAATAGTGTAGTATACACAGCTGTGCTGCGTTGTTTGAATGTATTGTTATATTGTTGGTCATCACTACATTACATTACTTTTTCTTTTTTTTTAAGTTTAATTACGCGTATAACTGTACATTCGTAAGTACTTACTGCTCCTACTTTCTTAGCTTGAAGAAATTGTTACGATTGAGAAAAAAATAGACACAAGAAAAACTTATTTGAAAAGAAATTGCGTATTAACAGCTCTATATACATAATGGCATTTGAGAAAACTAAACACCGTTCCGTCACTATGTGCATGGCTCAGTGAACGCGCAAACGTGAAGTGTGGCAGTCGCGAGTTCAATTCTAATCGTAAACATGTCGGCAACACTTCAAAGTAGTCTAAAGTAAGGAAATTCATTATTAGTGATGTATGCATGTGTAATGAGGATGTGGTTGTGAAATGTCACTTGTTCGTAAGCTGAGGAAATTCGAAAACAAATTATGTCGCTACGTTGCAACGTCCGTCGATTATAGTACCTACTTAATGTCAAGAGGGCCGTGAGCATGCGTTTAGTTAGAGCAATATAAATCGGTGTATTTAAAGATAGTATCACTATGTTCGCGTTCAAAAGTGTTTTAATGCATTTTATAATAGGCAGAGATACGATGTCATAATTTGATTTCATACGACAGTTTCCGTGATGCAAGTCATTTTAATTGCCTATTCGGCCGCTCATGGAGGAATGGGAATACGACCTTTTACTGTCTCATTTACTACACCATTTCATTAGTCCAAATGTAATATTTATCCTCTGTAAATAAGTTACGAGAGATTACTATAAGTCCGCACGGGTAAATGCTATCGCTCTGCCTATTTCTGCCGCGAAGTTTCATAGTGATACTTCAAGTATCCGGAACGCATGCTGCTTCGCGGCAGAAATAGGCAAAATGATAGTACCTGTCGGTGAGGACTTGCAATACTCCATTGCACCAGTTAATGCCGATGGACGATTTCAGTAAGTTGTTATATTTATTTAAATTTATGAACGAGAGTATAACAGTAGATTTCATACCACCTAGAGTGGTGCAGAGAGTGCTGTGATGGGTGGGTGTATTGGTCCATCGAAAAATAATAATATTAATGTTAATTTAAAACACATAGAGCATAAATACATACGTGTACACATAATACACAACGCCGTAAATATGATTATTATAATATCACTAGCTGACCCGGCAAACGTTGTGTTGCCCTAAATAAGATTGCTAGGGAAATTCTACTGTAGAAAAAAAAACCTCATTTAACCACATAATACCTCATTATAAACAAAAAAAAATATCCAAAAAATTAAAATAAAAAATAAATGTTTGGGGTGGACAACCCTTTTCACTTAGGGGTATGAAAAATAGATAGTAGCCGATTCTCAGACCTACTGAACATACTATTGATACACAAATAAAACCAAAAAAACATGGCTGAAAAATGTATAGTATTGTGTATATAGCTCTTAAATATATTAAGTGTATAATCTATGATGTATAGTGAGTAAGTAATACAGGAGACCGGCTTCGTCCTCATCCCTACTACGTGATGTTTGCTGGATGAGTGGTGACACCTGGTGGGGTTAGCTGATCGATTGATAGTTGATCAGTAGTCGACCGGCGAGGGCGGGAGATCAAATTCAATTTAAAAAAATCATAATTAAAGGAACTTGAAATTATAAACTCTGAATAAGAATTTATCGTACTACAATTATAATATTTGATGGCCATCTTGCAACCTTATTGTGGATCTGTGCATAGAATAAAAAAAATATTAATCGGGATGGAAAAATAGGGGTTGATCGTATAAGAGTGAAAATTGAGAGTAATATAATTTCTTTTTATTTTAAGTTATATTTTTTTATTTAAGTTTATAATTAACAAATAAAAAATAGGGGTTGATCATAGAGGGATGAAAAATTGAGAGTAACATTAGATTTTTTATTTTAATTCATGACAAAATAAAAATGAAAATCTTGCCAAAAAAATTAAAGTTTATATAATTATAAACAATGCCCGTTGGACCGATGACTTGCGGCGATATGCTGGGAGAGATTGGATGCGGAAGGCGGAGGATCCTTCATTGTGGCGGACTATGGGAGAGGCCTACATCCAGCAGTGGATAGATACAGGCTGATGATGATGAATTATAAACAATAATATTTATACAAATAAAAAATAGGGGTTGATCGTAGAGGGGCGAAAATTTCAGAGTAATATGAATTTTTTTATTCTACGTCATGACAAAATAAAAACAAAATTCTCGCAAAAATTTTTAAAGTTTTTAATTAGCAAATAAAAAATAAGGGTTGATCGTAGAGGGGTCAAAATTTAGGGTTGTATGTATTTTTGTATGCTGTATCATAAAAAAATAAAAAAATTTTTTTTTGTCTAAAAATAAAAAAATAAAAATTAGGGATGGACTACCCCTAACATTGAGGGGGATGAAAAATAGATGTTGACCGATTCTCATAGATACCGGATAAGCACAAAAAATTTCATCAAAATCGGTCAAGCCGTTTCGGAGGAGTATGGAAACGAAAACTGTGACACGAGAATTTTATATATTAGATTAAATAATTTACACATCTATTATAATATCATAAAATAATTTACATATACATTATACATACGCATTTTTATATAAACCATATATAATATTCTATTTTTATTGCTTTTTATTGCTTACACGTATGCACGGGCTCACGGCCCTCCTGGTAATAAGTGGTTGCTAGAGCCCATACACATCAACAACGTAAATCCGCTGCCAACTTTAAGACATAAGTTCTAAGTCTCAGTTTTACAGTAAAACGGCTGCCCCACCCTTCAAACCGAAACGCATAGTAATGCGTTCGCAACAGGGATAGTGGTGGCTACCCGAGAGAGCTACAATATGCTATAATAATATTATACTCATAAAACGTTGAACCTCAAAGCCGAAATTGTCCGATGAACCTCAAAGTCGCCATTAACGGCACCCTGGTGAAGAGTTGTGCTGTTCCTCTGGTACCCATAGCACAGGGAATCCTAAATTGGGTCCCGATGACCGTGTGCGATTTATTCCCAGTTATTATTATTATTGTCCGGTCTCAGAGATAATGGACTGGAACCAAAGCATATTTAGTACAAAATTAGAACGATTATCCCAAGATCGATATCGTTAGTAAGGCAAATAAACAACATAATTATTTACACTAGAGGTCCCGCAGTAGTCGAAATTCGACTATAACTAATTGGAATTGTAATTTTGTACACTATTATGATTGTATTTTATACTTCTATAATCACAAATTTCGCCAAGGCTACACTATAAAAAATATTAACAAATACAAACAATATTTAATCTATTCTCAATTTGACAACAGACGCCAAGAACAAAAGTTTGACAATAAATAGTATGCATGCGTGTGTGCGTCAAATACATGGTATGTAGTGTGTGTAATGTTTTATTTATTGATTTAATGTATCTTTTATGCATTATTTAAAAAAAATATTAGCATTGTGCACTTCTTCTCTATATTCTCTATAACTGTGGAAAATTTCGTACTCCTCCGTCCGCGCAATTTTCGTAAAAAGGGATACAAAGTTTTTGCTTCACGTATTAATATATAGATTTTAATGTCAAATCAACGTCCCCTCGAAACTACATAATATTATTATACAGTCCGTCCGATCACGGTCTGTCTGAAAAGCATTCTTTCAGTGGCCGGACAATAATAATTATTGAAACAATAACGCATGTATTTTACTTTACATTACATTCCAATTTAATTATTTTCTCCGAACTCCTTTATCTGTTGTAACAAAGTAAACAAGAGAAACGGAAAACATTTCGTATTCCGTATATTATGTAAACGGTTTATGACATTGACAATGTCGTTTTGTTCATGATTCACGGAACATGTATCGCTTCGCCTGTTATATTATTTAAACAAGCGGCCATTGAGCGAACAGTTACCGAAGAACTTGTGTTTTGTTTTACGATAACATTAAAAATCCCTGTCGATAAATAATTTTGTGATGCTATGTAATTTTGTCGCGTTTAGATTTAAACATCTTGATTAACTATAAATACTTAAAAAATAGCTCAGCGTCAGTTGAGAATTCAACATACGCCGATAAAACTGAATCGAATGTAAATTTTTTTTAGTATTTATTTATTTGCGGTCTTGACGAGCAGGAGTTTTGAAATTTTATCCTACTATTTTTGTCAAGGTTTGATTTTGTTAAGATTAATACATATTTAATAGTTCTATTACTGTTTTACGCTATCCCTTGGTCGTCCCGGGGGGGAGTTTTGCTGAGTCGGCCCGTCTTGCTACCGCTGGGGTGGCGCATGTCGTGGGAAAATCAGGAGATTGGGCCTCGACGTGGCGCTCAGTAAATCCGAGGCCATGTGGTTCCACGGGCCCCGGAGAGTGCCACCTGTCGATGCCCATATCGTTTTTATTTATTTATTTTTTTATTGCTTAGATGGGTGGACGAGCTCACAGCCCACCTGATGTTAAGTGGTTACTGGAGCCCATAGACATCCACAACGTAAATGCGCCACCCACCTTGAGATACAAGTTCTATGCACCATCGCGGTCAGGGTCATCCGCGGCTATCGCACCATCTCCTTTGAGGTGGCATGTGTATTGGCTGGGACGCCGCCTTGGGTCCTGGGGGCGAAGGCGCTCGCTGCTGACTATCAGTGGCGGGCTGACCTTCGTGCCCGGGGCGTAGCACGTCCCAGCCCCAGTGTGGTCAGAGCGCGGGAGGCAATCTCGGCGGTCCGTGCTGGAGTCATGGTCCAGACGGCTGGCCGATCCTTCGGCTGGTCGTAGAACCGTCGAGGCGATTCGCCCAGTTCTTGTGAATTGGGTGAATCGTGACAAAGGACGCCTCACTTTCCGGCTCACGCAAGTGCTCACTGGGCATGGTTGCTTCGGTGAGTTCCTGCACCGGATCGGAGCCGAGCCGACGGCAGAGTGCCACCATTGTGATTGCGACTTGGACACGGCCGAGCACACGCTCGTCGTCTGCCCCGAATGGGAGAGGTGGCGCCGTGTCCTCGTCGCAAAAATAGGAAACGACTTGTCGTTGCCGAGTGTTGTGACATCGATGCTCAGTGACGACGAGTCGTGGAAGGCGATGCTCGACTTCTGCGAGTGCACCATCTCGCAGAAGGAGGCGGCGGGGCACATGAGAGACACACAGGCCCGCCGCCGTCGAGCGGGGGCCAGGGAAGCGGATTTCGCCCAAGCCCTGGCCTTCTAAGTGTTTCGGGTCTCCCTCGCATGTCTGCCTGGGGACCGGCGAAGGGGACCTAAGAAGACGACGTGCAAGCTGCTCTGCACGCGTTTTACGCAAGAGCATCCGG